AATGGTAGAATGCTTCCACGCGGGTGGTCCGGGTTCGATTCCCGGCCGACGCACTCTGTCTTTGCTGCCCAAATCGCACTTAATCAGTTGGCGATCAGTGTCTGTAAGTATGGTATGTGCTTTGCACCGTCTAAGTGCAAAGTACTGTTACAAGATCGGCAGGAGCCTGTACCTGCACTCACTCTTGCGAGTGAACCGCTTTAAGTTGTTGATAAGTTTGTGTATCTGGGTTGTTGTGTGAGTGCTGGTAGAGGGGTGACGAATGAGATTTCCAACTGTATAATGAAGGCTAGGGTGGCATACATCAACTTGAGCCACCCCTGGCGCCATCGCGACGTTAGCCTGGCTGTCAAAGGTCAGGTATACAATGCTTCGGTGCAGGCTGTCTTGCTCTACGCCTGTGAAACCTGGCCTCTCCGAGCTGATTATGTGCGGCGACTCTGCGTGTTCGATCATCGCTTTCTCCGCAGGATTGCTTGCGTTCGATAGCATCGTCGCGTGAGTCATTCTGAGGTTCGGCGGCGTGTGTTTGAACACAGTGGAGATACCATTCATTGAGTGTCGTCATCTGAAAACACCGGCTCCGGTGGCTTGAACATGTGCTGCGAATGTCATCCCGGAGGCTTCCGTACAGGTCTCTGTTCGCTTGCCAGCTCTGGGACGGGATGGAAAAGGCGGAGGGTTGGTCAGTCCATGATGTGGCGTCGTGGAATGAAGGATATTTGTGCTAGATTAGCATCGGTTGGTGCATCACGACTCCCTGGTTGGGGTCCGCGAGATAGCTCGAAAGGTTATCGGATATGGCCAAGAATCGTAATCAATGGCGAACGTGTTGTAATTTCCTTCTTTCTTCCTTTCCTGATGATAGTTAGTGAATTCTGTTTGAACTTGTTAAACATGACTGTTTTCCTTCCAGATGAAGTTCTTTATCCGTTCTCTCCTTATATTTTTACTTTTAATCTATGTTGTTTTATTATTATTGTGTGGCGCATCTTTCTTGGTGTCATATTGTACCAAGTTTAAATAAATAAATAAATAAAAAATAAAATGTCACCGCTGGTGAGTATTTGTCTTTACACCTGACCTATGGGTGCGTACTGTTGGAGAGTCCCAAACTCCGACATTTTCCATGTCCGATGTCAGCTCATGATGGAATCCTGTAAGCAATTACAGTTTAGATAACCTGTAAACTAGAATCTTGCTTATTTTCTTAACTCCACTTAGGTTTAAGCAGTTCATTATTATTATTTCCTTTAATTCCTAGAGGAACATAGGGCTTCAGCCGTACGTCTCCATTGTGTTCGGTTCTCTGCTACAGTCTTCACCTGGCTCCAAGTCTCCCCACACACACGCTTTCATCTCCTCTTCACATGACCTCCTACAAGTCACCCCACCCTTGCACTGACGACCAACTCGCCGCCGCTTCCCTTTCGGCCGTGTTCCACTCGACCAATGCCTTGTCTAGTGATGTCACTCACTTGATGGTTTGTTTCCTCAGAGTATGGCAAGCCAATCCACCTACCTCCATTTCTTCCTACCTATTTGTTTCACAATCGGTTGGTTCCTGCTGTGTCGGTTGGTTCGCTCATTGTCAGAGATCCCTCCCTCTCTGTTGCTGATCTGTTCTGGCCGGCCGGCCATCTGATCTTGAGTAGTATTGAGCGAAGACAACTGGCTGTTAATGAAGGTGTGTAGTTTGTTTGAGATGCTCTTTATGATGCGCAGTGCACGTCTCTGATCCCTTTAGTAGCACTGACTTCACATCTCTAACAAAGCTTAACCTTGAGGAACTCACCAACCAATCACAGCAGAGTTAATGTGTGCGAATACGATTCGCAGATATAGGACTTGATTTTCTGAGAAACGGTCACAAGCAGTACAGAATAACCTTGTGCAAGAGAACAACCAATTAGAAGATGTTGCTCCTCTGCTGACAAAAATGCACATAAAAAATCTATAAATATCCTTTGATTTACTCAATAAACGATCTGTTGCCTAGCCCTTGTCTTCTGTTGTTACAACTTTAATGTGAACTTATTTAGATTCTCCGTGAATGATATAACAGCATCTCCTGAAAACTCTTGTCTTGATTGTCTGTCAAGTCTGATTAGTATTGATCGTTTTTTGTTGACTTGGAATTTTAAGTTTTTTCTTTGTCATGTGCCTTGCATTTTATTAGTTGATAGATATGATCTACGGTAATATGTCCCTTAGTCGCTGATTCGTCTAAGCACCAGACTTCAAGGAATTCCCTAGTTTCACTTTTAGTGTTCTCAGTGTTCAAAAATTTCTACATTTTCCCATTCAAACTGATGTTCACTCTTATTTTTAAAAAACAGAAAGATTGAGCGAAGAAATATTTACTTTTCAACTAGATCCTCATCTCTGGCTCTACTCTAATATATTATGTATAGCATTTTTATTACAATACACAACAGTTTACCAAACAAGTGGCGATATATTTGTTAACAATAATTAAAACAGTGTCAAAATATCAATGCGACGGGTGATAATTAACGAAGAAAATCAATACACATTTAAAAGGTAGAAATGGATAGAATAAATTAATTTTACAAGGATAACACGTAATTAAAGATGAAGTGGTCAAAATAAAAATAAAATAAAATAATTTGGACAATTATAGTTTTTTATAGTTTTTAAAGGTTTAGGGAGAGGGAAGCGACGTAGTCCCGTTCATGCATTCTTCTAGAGATGGCCACGGTAAGGAAAGTGGCTGTACAAATTTCTTCTGTACACATAGGCTTGGCTTCTTCAGGTGGATTCCTATTGCTTCAGCTGTCTGTAGAAGACGAACTCGTAAAGCAAAGTTAAGATTAGTCGGAATGCGATAAATAATTTTAAATGCAGTATTGACATCAACCTTATGCTCAGTATCAACAAGGTGTGCTAAAATAGAACTACGAATAGATCTTGTTTGTCCTCCCTTGCTTAACCATGCTGCAGGATGATGTTCGGAAATATGATGATGAACCTGCCTAATTGTACGCCCAATGTAGCTGGCTCCGCGGCTGCAGTCAAACTGGTAGATACACATAGAAGAGGCAAATTTAGGTAGTTTATCCTTATTTCTCGAAGATACAATAGGGGTGGTTTTGAAGAGACAACGTACCTTTGCTGCATAGTAAGCTCTTTTAACTGCAATCTTCAGGCAGAGCCAGAGATGAGGATCTAATTGAAAAGTAAATGTTTCTTCGCTCAATCTTTCTGTTTTCTAAATGTCTAAATGGGGATTTTTTTCTATATTAAAAATAAACAAATCACATATCATCACGTGATAAGCGTTAACCAATCAGAATCTAGAACATACAGTTAACGCCTACTATTCGAGCCTTGTGACTGGATCAATATATAGATATATATGGTCATATATATTTTCGTAATCTTGGTCACTTTCTGTCCCACTTGTTTTTTGGGAATACACACGTTTCCACTCTCTCCTACTATGTGAGTGTCTTCTGGAGTTTATGAATTTTGGGGTGAGGGCATAGTCGACCATGAAAGTATCAAAAAGGCGTTCGTCATCGTCAGTCAGCATTCCTATTCATAGTCGGAGACATCAAATTGCTGCCCACAGTTATCTACACACATCGATATAAAAGAATATGTGTCGTTTTTTTTGTAATTCAACAGCTAAGTAATCCACAACGGGAAACTTACGGAATCCTTCGAAGTGAGGACAGGAGTAAGACAAGCTGGCTGCCTACTATCGCCAATGATTTTCCTGATTGCAGTAAATTAGATAATGTGACAAACAGCGGCCAATGAGGAAACAGGCATAAAATGGACTCACACAAAAAACCTGGAGGATCTAGACTTCACCAATGATATATGTCTGATTTCCCACAAACTGGAAGATATGCAAGCGAAAAGCAACAAGTTGGCAGAAGAAGCATCAAAGATAGGAAGGACTTCAGGTGAACACAGAGAAAACAGATGTAGTGATGAAGATTCCTGGCCAACACCACCACCAACAACAACAACAGACAACAATCAGCCAGCATAAATGGGAGGATCCTGAAAGAAACAACCTCCTTTACCTACACACCGACCTGGGAAGCATCGTTTCAACCACAGGCGGAAATGACGAGGATATTAAAGTAGCGAGGATCGGGAAAGCAAGACAAGCTTTCACTACTCTCAAGTCTGTGTGGAGGTCAACAGTCAGCACTCAGAATCAAAACGAAGATAACATCCGGATTTTCAACTCCAATGTGAAGTCAGTCAGTGCCATTTACTATACGGATGGATCAGAGACTTGCACTGCGCGTCACAAAGAGCATCTCAAACAAACTACAGACCTTCATCAACAGCCAGCTGTCTTCGCTCAATACTACACAAGATCAGATGACCGGCCGGCCGGCCAGAAAAGATCAGCAACAGAGAGGGATCTCTGGTAATGAGCGAACCAACCGACACAGCAGGACCCGACCGATTGTGAAACAAATAGGCAGGAAGGAATGGAGGTAGGTGGATTGGCTGGCCATACTCTGAGGAAACAAACCATCAAGTGACTGACATCATTAGAGAAGCCATTGCTCGAGTGGAACCCGGCCGAAAGGGAAGCGGTGGCGAGTTGGTCGTCAGTGCGAGTGTGGGTTGACTTGGAGGAGGTGATGTGAAGAGGAGATGAAAGCGTGTGTGGGCAGACTTGGAGCCAGGTGAAGACTCTAGGAGGGAACCGAACGCAATGGAGACGCACAGTTGAGGCCCTATTTTCCTCTAGGAATTAGAGGAAACAATAATAGTAATAATAATTATACAGCTAATTTATGTTCTTGGATCCCGAGGTCGAAGGGACCCGTTTACATATTTAATGAATATAGGTGCTTATCACAGTGGATACCAATCTTAATTTGTAGATGGTATCGATCTAGTCTTTTTTGTGCTGTTGTGCTGTTACCTCTGTTTTTTTGAATAATCCAAACTTTTCTTTATCCTTCTTTACAGATTGATTTATTGATTTGGATAAATAGAACATTATGCCAAGATTCAAGGCTACTCCACAACAGATTTATTTAAACGATAAACGAGAACTCTCTGAGGGTGAGGAAGAAGATCAAGAAGAAGATGGGGAGGACGAGGAGGACGACGAGGAAGAGGAAGCAGACGACGAGGAAGAAGAAGGTGAGGAATATATGGATGACGAGGATAAAGAAGTTAATGCCGAATCTCTTGACAAGGCCCAAGAGGAAGATGTTCACTGCAAAAATGATCTAAATAACAACTATACTACTAGTGATAATAACAGTAGTATAATGGATCAGAACGAGAATAATTCAAGCATAGACGACGCTGTCAGTGATACTAGCCCTCAGAAGAAGTTGTCTGTGTCACTGATGAAAAGACCTCTTTCTATTACTGATAACAACGCTGCTGCTGCTACTACTACTGATGATGATGACGATAATGATGTTGGTGATGAAAGTCATGAAGAAAAGCGAAGAAAGACAACAACAACAACATCAGAAAGTATTATTTCAGCCCCAGTGACTTCAGAATGTTTGAATAGTTTACAGACAGCTGCTTTTCTTGCACAAGCTGCTGCTGTTGCTACTGTCGCTACTGTTGCTGCCCTATCCTCTGGACCTTTAATTCCAATATTTCCCTCGGATACACCACCGATAGCTCCACTTGGCTTATCATTACCCCCTCCACCTGCACCTCAGGCTAATCCACCAGTACAAACAGGTGGTGCCGGGGGTGGCGCGGGTGGCAGTAGTATTGGTAGTAATCAAGATGGTGACGATGATGCGGAGGGCAACTCTAGTCAAGGTGATGCTGAAGGTGATGATGATAATGAACAACAACAATTTCATCAGTGTAAATCCCGTGAACGTGAAAAACAATTAATCAATTGTCCTGTATGCTGTAAAACAATGTTACGCGGGTCATTACGTGAACATATGGATCGACATGCTAATAGTGGCAAGTATAAATGTAATCTATGCGAAAAAACATTTAGTCGTGCTAGTGCACGTGAAAAACATCTACGGACACATACTGGTGAACGTCCTTTCAAGTGTCATTTATGTCCGAAAGCATATCGTCAAAAAGTTCACTTGAATGAACATTTACGTTCACACACAGGGTTAAGACCATATTTATGTAAATTATGCGGTTTTTGTTCTGCTTCAAAATCCTTACTGAATCGTCATTTACGTAGTCATGGGATACAGAAAAATTTAGATCAAAATTCGAATATATGGATGAAAATTGATGCTCCGAAAGAGGAAGTATTAAATATTGCTGCAGAAGTTGGTAGAGTACTATCACAAAAACAAAATGATAACAATACTAATCATACTACTAATAACAACAACCCTATAAGTAGTTCTAATAGTAGTGTCGATTTAAAATCAATTTATACTACTGTGACTACTAATACAAATGATTATTTACAACAGTTAACATCCAACGGGACAGCTTCATTACTCATTGGTCGTAAACACTTGTGTCATCTATGTCCAGCTGGTTTTCCAACTGTACAAGCCTTAAGAAGTCATCGTATGATAACGCATAATGTTATAGCACCGCATAAATGTCCCCAGTGTGACGAGTCATTTACATCAGTGAAATTAATGGAAGCACATTTAAGAAAAAATCATCCACAGGTTAGATATTATTATTTTTTCTCTTTTTGTATTTATTTGTTATTACGAGTTGATCATGGATTGATATCAGTTAGAGAAAAGCTGTTACGTCCCAGTTTGGGACTCTTCATCAGTACGCACCCACCATGGGGGTTTAAACCCAGGACCTTCTGGTTACAAGAAGAGCTAGCCCGTATACTATTCAGCCACTGGGACCCAATTCAATGGCCAACCCATGAATTCGATTCGCCCCTGTAAAATGTAAGATGCTGCTACAGGACTGGACTACGTCAACTCCTAGCTTAGTGATACGGAGTGAAGTGATAGAACATGTTGACCACTTTACCTATTTGGGAAGTTGTATCAGAACCAACGGACTGATTGGCGACGAAATCTCAGCACGGATCTAAAAAGCTTGAGCTGCTTTCGCGAACTTTCGCCACCACCTCTGGCGTAGGCGTGACATCCGGCTATCAACCAAGGGACGTGTGTACTGCTCAACAGTTCGCTCCGTCCTTCTCTATGGGGCTCTGAAACATGGCCAATACGAGTTGAAGACGACATGAAAAGGATGACTGTTTTTGATCATGGATGTCTACGATCTCTTTCTCACGTTAGGTGGTGGTACAATAAGCTGGTAAGTAATGTTGACGTTAGGCGTAGAGTGTTGGACAAAGAGGGAAAATCAATCGACGAAGCTATAAAGTTACATAGATTGAGATGGCTAGGTGACGTGCTGAGCATGTGTAACCATCGCCTCCCCCGACGGACGGGCATTACTAGCTGATATAGGTGCCTGTTAGAAGTAAGAAAGAGTAAGTGGTGGCCAAACAAAAACATGGCCTCATCAATCCATGAAATCCTTGACAGTTAAACTGAGTCAGTCAGTCAGGTAGGGAGGGAGGAAGGGAGATGCAGACTTCCGGGTTGGGGCCCGGCCCGCCCTCGGGACTCTAAGAATCAATGGCTGGAGACAATGGGTGACATGGCTCAAACTCATCGTTGTCAATGGCTTACGCAGATGTATTCAGTCTCTGTAATCTTTCGTATTCCTTTCTACCATTACTCATTCTGTTTCACTCTTATGCTTGTCGAAACTCTATTGATTCCCCTCACTCATTTTGTTGTCTACCTTTGTGTGGTATTTGGAAGGTGGCAACTTGAACTGGTGCACTTCGGTGCGAAGTTCTATGTTGAATCCAGCCAGCCATGAATTCTAACTTCTATTAATTCGTTATTTAGCGTGACCCCAACCAATGTCGTTGGTGGGACATCCATCCTCACGTGTGAGGATGGAAACTTTGTTATTTTATTCCTTTGTCATTCCGTGCGAAAAATATAGGTCTTCAAGCTTGACCTTTGAATTTTGCAGTAGTAGTGGTAGTGTGTTTGCTTCACACCCAACCTTCCCCATATACTGGGATCGCTACTGGTCAAGAGGGGCGTCAAGGAGATTGCTTCGGTTAGGGATCAAACGGTGGGTCACATTTGTTCTACCACTGGATCACAGATGCGCAGCACGCTAGATAAATTTTTTTTCATTCCTTTACGTTCACAGTGGAGCATAGGGGGCTTCAAGCTAGAGGTTTGAAGTTTCGGTAGCAGTGGTTGCTAGCCTCATGTCCAACCTTCCCTCTTTACCAGTCTTATTAGTGGCTTAGCGAGGTAAAGGACTTTTAACCGGAAGATCCTAGATTTGAACCCCGTTAGGTGTGTGCCTACTGCAGAATGAGTCCCTAATTAGGACGAAACAGCTGCCCATTACTCCCTGCTGGTTTTCAGTGATTCTCCAACTGATATCTATCCATGGGCTGACCCGAAATAATAATAATACTAATAACAGTTGCTCATAATTATATTAAGGTACTCACACAACTTTCTAACTTCGTTTATATAATTCCATTATTTTTCATCACTTGTCTTGATTGGCAGTAGTATTTTCCATATTTCGCGTATGAGTGATGAATCATTCCTATTGCATGTCTTGGGTGTAGACTCAATGAACAAGGATTCAGTAATCAACCTCTCTCTCCACCTACCTATATTACTTCTTAGAATTTTAACCCTCTCCTACCCTATTATGTGGTTGTGTGTTAATTCATGCGGTGCAATTGCTGAACTTTTTTCTAAATTACTTATCTTCTCGGGGTCAACCATTCTTACCTTAACTAAATTCTTATGTTCCGACGGAACATATGATTATGAGCAGCCATAAATTGTGCTCAAAACGTGGTCCTCAGTAAATATTCCTGTATAACACTGTGAGACTTTATCAAAATAAATTTTAGCCATAATGAAATTGTCAAACACTGCCCATATGCTACAGTACAATCCAGCTTGACTAACTTGATCTCCCTGAAGACACAATGCCTTTCATGAAAAACATGTGACTGGAGAAAATAATTATTAACAATTTATCATTTGATCCGATCTGATTTATATATATTATGATGTATATTTCAAAATTTTTTTCTTTTCTATCTAGATTTGTCCAATCTGTTCAAAAAAGATGTCTGAACGTCGAAAATGGATGGTAGAAGCGCATATCAGAAAAGCACATCCAGAGGCTGTTGAAACTTACTGTCCAAATAATAAGAAATTAAGAAAGATCAAACCAAAACCAACCACAACCACAACAACTACGACTTCTACTCCTACTGTGACTGCCACGACTGCTTCTACTACTCCTACGGTTACTGCTATACTTGTTAATAATAATAATAATGCTAGTACTGGTGTTAATAATAGTAATACTGATACAAGTCATCTACCCCCCACCTCTAATGTCAAAAAGTCCGCTTCTTCTACTTCTAACAGTTGTCATCCAACAGAACTGCAAAAATGGGAATATTTTAGACCAGATAAAGTGAATTCTTCAAGTGACGACGACGAGGACGTCGATGGTGATGACGTCGAGGAAGATGAAGAAGAAGATGAAGAGGATAACGATGAAAATGACGAGAATGACGTGTTGGAGGAGGATGTCCATGATGATGACGAGGAGAATGACGACGACGCCGCCGACAACAGCAGCAGCAACAACAATCAAGCCGACGAGAAACTTACAAACAATAATAAACACAAGTCTAATTCCAATAGGAAATCATTTAAAACAGTAAAGAATACTGAATTCATCATCGATGAAAACACCACGACCTATTCAATAGACAATGAACAGTTAGATGACAATAGTTTACTTGAACATATAAAGGATGATGATGAAATGCATGAATTCGACTTGGGGATATAAATAATAACAATAATAATAGTGATCCACTGTAAAATAGTAAATACTTTCTCTCACTCATAACATTTTTTTATCATAATTTCAATGAAAAGACAATTGTGAAATGACAAGAACAACAGCAACAGAAACAGGAGAAGAAGAACTCACTTTAAACCTGTAAAAAGTTCATGTTTTTTGTAATTTCTTTTCTCTTTTTTTTTCTAGATTATTTTATTCCACTAGGAACAAGCTTCAGCTCCAAAAGTTTCGGTAGGATGGCGTTGTCAGCCTCCTGCTCAACCTTCCCGCTTTATTTTTTTCGTTTTACTCCAGCCTTACACACACACACACAGTACCAGCCTAGCCGAGGTCTAGGAGTGAGTCATTGACTGGGAATCGAACCCCGAACCATTTGAGGCATGGTTGCCGAGGGTTCTACCGATGGACCACTGACTTTTACTACAACTTTTAGTCACGCGACACATCTAATTACATTTATTATTTATTTAATGCTTTCTCAATGGTGAATTCTACACAAAGTGGAGGTGAATAATTTTTTTCTTTTGCGCTTTATTTCTTCTATTGTCAGTGTAATTTCCGTCTTTTTTGGCTTTCTTTCTTCTTGGCATCATTAATACTCAGTCATTTCAATGTATGTCCATTTCATGTATACATACATACACGCACGGAACCACGCAGACTCACCATTTGCCGTATGCGCTTCATTTCGTCTTGTCTTTCTTGTCAAAAGTACATCTGTGGTTTTTTTTACAAATAGAATTACATAGGGAGTTATTTTATTTTTTTTCGAGAGTGTTTGTTTCGTAGGGATTTGAAAACCAGCCACAGGGAGTGCTAGACAAATGTGTTGTGTCCTAGTTCAAGATTCGTCGTCAGTATGTATGTATGTTCAAACTGAAAACTTTCTGACTACAAGAGACAAGTTTGTGTAGACCATTCACAGCCACTGGGACTTGGCTTGTAAAAACAGAAGGAAAGGGCCAGGCAACAGATTGTTTATTAAGGAAAATCAACACATATTTATAGATTTTAATGTACATTATTGTTGTTAGTAGAAAATACAGTCTGTTGATTGGTTGTTTCTCACAGAAAGTTAACCTTGCATCTCTTTGTGGCTGTGTCAGATCATCCATATGCTAACTGTATCCGCCTACGCAAAGCCTTTGTTCTCATCATTTTCTCACCACCAATATTGGGGACATAACCATTGACGTCAATTACTGTCCACCAACTTTGGCTAGCAGCCAGCTCTCACCACAAGCTTAATGACCAGCCAGTGAATTCTAGATTATACCGATTCTTAATTTCAACCCGACCACCTGCTAATGTCATTTGTGGAGAGAGTTGTGGTCCTCACTGATTACAGGAGGGATTCCACTGTGATCACGACTTCTCACACTAGAAATCTCCAGCCAACTTCGTCTTGTTTACCAGTCACTCTAGTAGGGAGCATCAGATTTAATGAAAACAAAACACGTAGATCAGCGAAGAATCTCTTTTCGGCGAATTCATTTTCTTAGCTGTACAATCACAAATATATATGTGTTATTTTGTATGTATGTGTACATTAAGTTCATCAAACAGAAATACTATTGGTTATAGTTATTTAAACTAAACAGGTGAAGATTGGTAATTGGAGTTACGTAATACAAAGTCAGTCAAGAAAAATAGGTGTTAATGAAATCAGGGTAGTAAGAAAGGTGATGAGTTGTCACAAACAATTGTTAAAAGAAGTTATGTAATAATATGAATAGTTTGATGAGTGAGTTTTACTCAAGATGCACATAAGAACAAAGTAGATAACAGGAAATTACGTAAGAGTTCTAAATGAATACAAGAATTATAAGCAACTAAAGGACAGGCAAAGAAACAAAATTAAGTCATCAAAATAAAAAAAATCAAATCAAAATAGTTCTTATCAAAACAGTAGAAGTGGTTGAGTAATTCTCTTTTGTATACACAGCTCCGGTTTTTCTATGTGAATGGCCAGAGCTTCAGCGATACAAAGAAGGCGAAAGCGTATTGCCTTTGATAGGTTGTTCTTGACTCCATAGATTACTTTGAAGCGGGAGGCGTTTGTTGAAATGGAATGATCGGTGTTAACCAGATGTTCAATTATCGCACTTCTTATTCCACCACTATTACCTTTTCACAACCATGCTGGATAGTGTTCTTGAATCCTCTTGGACAGGGTGCGCGTTGAACGACCGATGTACCTGGCTCCACAGCACCAGGTGAACTGATACGCATGCACAAAGTAGAAGTGGTCAGATGCGGGATCTTGTCCTTGAGGCTTCTACAGATCAGTGGACGACTGGAGAACACTATTCTTAGCGTTGCTGCAAAGAATGTTCTTCTCAGAGATGATGTCATCCTTCTCTTGAGAATATCGTTTGCTAAATCTCCCTTGAAATCCAAGTTCATGTAGAGTTTCTTTTTTGGCGCAATTAAAGTTTCGTTTCTCCGAATTCTTGGTTTGATAATTTTTTGTCGATGAATCTTATTGGGTATCCATTTTGGATGAAAATTTCTCTTAGAATATCTAATTCTGTTTCCAGAACGTCGGGACTGCAGATGCGTCGGATACGGGTGGCAAGTGACTTAATTAAATTTCGCTTTTGTTGAATGGGTACCCAGCTATAGAAGCTTGTTAGTTGACCATTCCAAGTAGGTTTTCTATGGATCGATCTTCTTAGGCTCCCATCAGTTCTTCTTGTTAGTTCCATATCAAGAAACTCGTTTTCCATTTCAAGAGTGAATTTTATTGCTGGATGGCAACAGTTAAATATCTTCAGCAGTAGATTGGGGTCATTGTTGTTGTCACAAATAATGAATATGTCGTCTACGTATCTTTTATACAGTCGCAACTGCGACATACATAAAAAATAACATATATATATTTGCGATTGTATAGCTAAGAAAATGAATTCGCCGAAAAGAAACTCTTCGCTGATCTACGTGTTTTGTTTTCATTAATGCCTGGATGGGGATTATACATGAATTGAAACGTAGCATCAGATTTTCTTTTCTAAAGATTTTGTTTGTAGGGATTTGATGTGTTTCAAATTCGGTCGGAGATTGATATCAGTTAGAAAATCATTGAATATCTTGCTTGATTTGATGATGACGAGCAGTGGAATCCAGCTAGGTTGACACATTTCGTCTTATTTGCTCGACTTGACAGCTGCATGTACCTGCAAATATCTCTCCAGTATGAAGCGCGTTGCTTCATTTGAACTACACTTGTGAGAGGTGTTGAGTCGATAAACGAAAATTCAGTAATTAACTCCTCTCTGTCTGTCCCTCTCTCTCTTTTTCCGCCTAACTGTATTACATTTTATAAATTTCACCTGGTCAAACCTTATTGGCCGAAGAAGCATCCAGAGAAGATAGGACTTCAGGTGAACATAGAGAAAACAGATGTGGTGATGAAGATTCCTGGCCAACACCACCAACAGCAACAACAACAACAGACAACAACCATAAATGGGAGAAATCTGAAAGAAGCAACCTACTTTACCTACCTACCTATCTGGGAAGCATCGTCTCAATTACAGGCCGGCGGAACTGACGAGAATATCAAAGCAAGAATCGATCGAAAAAGCAAGACAAGCTTTCACTACTCCCAAGTCTGTGTGGAGGTCAACAGTCAGCACTCAGAATCAAAACGAAGATAAGATCCGGATTTTCAACTCCAATGTGAAGTCAGTCAGTGTGGTGAGAGATGGTTGCTAGCCAAATTGGTTGACAGTAATTGAGGTCAAAGGTCAAGATGGACAGGCGGATACAGTTAACATATAGATGAACTGACACAGCCACAAGAGATGCAAGGTTAACTTTGTGTGGGAAACAACCAATCAACAGACTGCATTTTCTACTAACATTAGCTTACAATGATGTACATCAAAATCTATAAATACGTGTTGATTTTCCGTAATAAACGTTCTGTTGACTGGCCCTTGTCTTCTGTTGTTACACTACTATACGGATGGATCAGAGACTTGCACTGCGCGTCATAAAGACCATCTCAAGCAAACTACACACCTTCATTAACAGCTAGCTGTCTTCGCTCAATACTACTCAAGATCAGATGGCCGGCCGGCCGGCCAGAAAAGATCACCAACAGAGAAGGATCTCTGGCAATGAGCGAACCAACCGACAGAGCAGGAACAAACCGATTGTGAAACAAATAGGCAGGAAGAAATGGAGGTAGGTGGATTGGCTGGCCATACTCTGAGGAAACAAGCCATCAAATGAGTGACATGACTAGACAAGCCATTGCTCGAGTGGAACTCGGCCGAAAGGGAAGCGGCGGCGAGTTGGTCGTCAGTGCGAGAGTGGGGTGACTTGGAGGAGGTGATGTGAAGAGGAGATGAAGGCGTGTGTGTGGGCAGACTTGAAGCCCGCTGAGAACTTATGCAGAGAACCAAACGCAATAGAGACGCACGGCTGAAGCCCCATTTTCCTCTAGTAATTAAAGGGTACAATAATAGTAATGATAAGTTCCCAAATTTTTCTCTAGAAAGAAAGTGCATACAGTTTAAAAGCTTTATTCCCGTCCAATAATACAAAGAACCTAGTCAGAACATTGTTCATTAGAGCATGGAAAACTTGTTTTGAGAATACCATTGAATAGGAAAATAAAGACTCTGAAAAATATTTTCTCTAAAAATGGATATCCTAAGAGGTTCATCAATTATGACTCTAAAGAAATAAACTCCAATAAAACTACCTAAACACTTTCAAAGAAAGTTGTACGTATCATTTTGCCATTTAAAGGAGATGATGTACAAGAGGTAGTCAAACGAAGACTTGACAAAGCTATCAGGGGAACTTGTTATGCTGCAAAACCACCAAGCGGGTGGGTCCTTCAACAATAGAAAGAGACCGGTTGCCAATCCCCGACACTTCCAATTCTGTATATCAATTTGGGTGTGTTCGTGGAAGCAAATATACATTGGTCATACGAAAAGGCAAATGTCTACTCACATGATGGAGCATTT